GATCTCATTTCTTTATTGTCACACTTCATATAAAAGATGCTATAGCAATATGCCTTAGTAATTGGGCTTATAAATAAATAGAGATTCCTATCTCACACATTGCCTGGTGCTTGGTTTAGGCTATTTTGAGATTCGAATTACATGTTTTCCTCCCATCTCATCTCATAAGAAAAGCCGTATGTTTAAAGCACAGAATGCTGGGCCTGCAGCGTTTGGTTCTCAGAGTCCATTACTCTCCCACTGAATTTACCAGCAAGGCACCCCCCCTTTTTTTTCACTAGATATTACAAAAATGCTCTAAGCGCCTCAGGAATGAATTGTTTGTTTTACAATGATAGTTATGCTGAAAGCGCTTGGCTTCAAAGGCTTCTTAGGGTTTCATGCATATCACTGACTGGACTACCAACTGGGGTCAGCAGACAAACGGGTGTGGATATGATACCGGGGGTGCAGACGTGCTCAAATAAAGGGCTTCGTTAGCCATTCAGTGTCCACCCCATAATTAATATGTTCAGGAACACGGTGCAGTTGAGTCGTGAGCATTCACGAAGCTTCTTAATCCCACTCACCAGGAGAACAGCTGCTGGAGCGTGGGTTCCCGGCAGATGGCAGGACACAGGAGAAGCCAGGCACTTAACAATTCTGGAAGGTAACTGTTATTCATTTCCAATGTCCCTGCAACCATCCTGACTCGACATTCTAAAGTCCTAGGTCTGGGGGGAGCATTACAAACAAACGCACCTGTGCCTGGCCCAGGCGGCGGCTGAGTGATGGAAGGCAGCGCTTGCCATGAACGTGTGAGGACAGGACTTCAGATCCAGAGGGCCTGCTGGGCGCGGTTGGCGGTCGCCTGTAATTCCAGCCATGGGAGGCTGATACCTGATCCTCAGAGCAGGCTGACTGGAAAGACTAGCCAGATCGGCGAGCTCCGGGTTTGATTGAGAGGCCCTGCCTCCATGAAGAGCTGATGCCTCAGGCTTCCACAGGCATGCGCACTAGGATGCTGGTGTTTGCGCAAAAACAAAAAATAAAATAAAAACCAACCAACCAAACAAACAAACAAAAAACCCGCACGCACATGCATACATAAGAGGGGGGAAAAAGGCCGTGATTCCCAGTGTCCTGGTCCATGTACGTTCTAAAGTTTTTAGTTAGAAAACACCGGGCCGTACTACACGCCTTTGTCCTTAGCACTCGGGAGGCAGAGGCAGGGGGATCTCCGAGTTAGAAGCCACGCTGGTCCACACAGCAAGACCTGATCTCCAAACCACTCGGAGTCCAGCACTGTATGTGTTGTTTGAGTAAAGATACCCTTGGGACCCAGGTTTGGGTGCTATTTTATTTTTCTCTGATTTAAATGAAGCTTGAAAGGTCATGTTCCAGGGCAGACAGAGCAGCGCCCTGTTTACCTCCAGTCCTGCCAATCCAGTTTGGGACTGCCTGCTATCAATCCCTTAGGATTCTAATCCCCGATAGCCCATAAGAATGACCTTTCCTACAGTTGAATTAAGTACATTTACAAGAACTTTAAGTACATTTTTGTAGCAGGAAGTTTCTCTGGTCCCGCCGGCCCCGCGGTCCAGAGGAATCTCTCCCATCTGTGGTCTCCAGCAGCCGTTTATAAAATGATCATTCGGGGGCGAATGTTACCCTTCTAGGCCTGATTTTTTTTCCCCTCAGTGCTGGGAATTGAACCTAGTATCTTGCATGTGCTAGGCAAGCACTCTTAAGAAATTGAGTTACATCTCCAGTCCCTAACTGTAAATTCTAAAATGTCGTTTATGAGCTAGAGATGTAGTTATGTTGGTAAAGTGCTTGTTTAGTGTTCAGGAAGCCCTGGATTCAATCCTCAGCACCACACAAACCTAGCCTGGTGGAAATAAGCCCATAATTCCAAGCACCAAGGAGACAAGAGAATCATTTCAAGGCTATATTTGGCTACATGGAGAATTTAAAACCTTCCAGGGCTAGGGAGATTGTCTAAAAAATAAGAATAGGTTAAGTTCTATGGAACAAAGAAGAGCGTGTCTGAACCAGGCTTTCCTATGCTACTATTGAGTTAGAAAAAAGTCTATATATCACTACAATCATTTGTAGTGACTGTTAGAATACAGTGCTAACTGTGCACACGCACATGTATGCCTGTTTTGTGCTGTGTTCCTACTCTTGCTACAACCGGCAGCTCATACCTAGGCAGAAGCAGCCAGTATTTAAATCCAGGTCTGTCTGCCTCTAGAGATTATTTTCCATGGTGCTAGCAATTGAAGTGATCTAGGATGGGGCTGGCAAGATGGCTCAGCAGATAAAGGCCACTTCGGCCAGACTGATGACTTGAGCTCGATCCCCAGGACCCCCACTCGGTGGACACAGGACTCACACGTTTTCCTCTGGTCTCCACTTGTGAGAGTTGACCCAAGCTTCCCCCTAGTAACTAATTGAAATCCAGAGCTGGAGAAATTGTTCGGTATTTAAGAGCACTTGTAAACCAGGCGGTGGGGGTGCACACCTTTAATCCCAGCACTCAGCACTCGGGAGGCAGAGCCAGGCGGATCTCTGTCAGTTTGAGGCCAGCCTGGTCTCCAAAGCGAGTTCCAGGAAAGGCGCAAAGCTACACAGAGAAACCCTCTCTCGGGGGGGAAAAAAAAAAAGACAAACAAAAAAAACCACTTGTGGTTTTTGCTGAGGACCCAGGTTCATTTCCTAGCAACCATCTGTAGCTCCAGTTCCAGGAACTGTCTTTTGGTCTTCCAGGACACCAGGCATACACGCAGGCAAACATTCACATATATTTAAAAAACAAACAAAAAACAAAACCACCCAACTACATTGTGTCTGCTAATGTAAGCACTCTCCCATCAAGCTGCCCCAAACCCAGACCTCATCTCCTCACACCAAAGCTGATCAGTGTATTTTCATCAAGAAAAAGAAATATTTAACCATGACCTTAGTTTTAACACTAGCAAACTAATCAGATGCCAGTTTATTCAAAGGAATTTAGCTCTAATTTTAGAACTGAAAAGCAAAAGCCATCTTTTGTAAAGAAAATCCGTGTCTTTGGTGCTAGAGATGGCCCAGTGGTTAAGAGAAACACTGCTCTTTGCAGAAGTTTGTTCTCAGCACTCAGATCCGGTAGCTCACAACTGCTTATAACCCATCTTGAGGCCTTTTCCAACCTCCGGCCACTGTGGGCATCTGCCCACACACAAATCTGTAAAAAAAGTCTCATCTTTGGATGTATATAGTATCATAAATAGCTTCTAAAATGGAAAAGAAAATTAGTTTCCTTTAATTGGGAGTTCACAAACATCTGAAATTCAAGTATTCTTTCTCTAATCATTATCAGCAGAACTGCCCTGGAATTCTTGTTTGAGCCCAGCAAAGGATAAAAAACTGTAAAACTATTTTTCTGGCTCACTGGCATTAAAGTGCTAAGAAATAAATTATTTTACCTATAAGCTACTGTTATGAAGACGACTGAACTCTCTTATAATTTTCTTTGCAAGCCTTGCTTTAGTGGTGTTTTTTTGTTTTGGATCTGCCACTTCTATAAACTTGGGGTTTTCTGAAAAAGAAAATTATAGCTATACTTTGTGTTGTAAATACCCTGGCCAACAGAAAGCTTGACTAAATGCTCATGTCATATACAGCTGGCTACAGGTTCCTAAGTTAGGGAGTGACATTTCAGCATCTTCTCTAAATTACTTCCCCGGGGGTTAGAATAACAGGCCCTTTAATCCCCACCCCATCCCACCCCCTACCCCGGTTGTTTTTTCTTTTTGGTTTGTTTTCTGAGACAGGATTTCTCTGTGTGTAGTCCTGGCTGAACAATGCCATTTTTAGACCTCATAACTTTTGGGTTTCTCTATTTCCAGATTCTTTGGGGGGAGATGATTGGTGTTAAAGAGGCTTACCTAAAAAGGTCTAAAGTTTCTACTGATTTTATCGGCCTCTAGGCATTAAATCCCAACCCTGGAATATTAACGGAACAATGAAATAACATTAGTTGTCAGCAACGGTAACCCAACCCTGCATGTACCCACCCATCCCTTTTTCAAAGTAAGGTGACCACACCTCCAGGTGGTTCCCCCATGACGAGGAAGTGTGGCAAAGAAAAAAAACACCGACACCAGAATGAAGTCTGCTTCCCTTTTAATTCAACATGCTGTTTAAAACTTGAAGTAAAAACCAATATAAACGTCTCCCACCGCCCCGATGTCCCTCGGAGTCCACTTCACCCGCTCTGCTTGGCCGCCAGCCTCTTGTCTCTCTCTTCGGCGATGGTGAGGCGGATTCCTTTCCCTCGGGGAAGAGAGATCCACGGCTTGTTGCCCTTGCCGATCACGAAGATGTTGGAGAGGCGGGTGGCGAAGCCGTTGCCGTTGGCATCCTTCACGTGGACCACGTCGAACGAGCCGGGGTGGCGCTCCCGGTTGGTGATGACGCCGATGCGCCCCAGGTTGGCGCCTCCGGTCACCATGCACAGGTTGCCGGTGTCGAACTTGATGGCGTCGGTGATCTTGCCGGTGTCCAGCGAGATCTGCACGGTGTCGTTGACCTTGATGAGCGGGTCGGGGTAGCGGATGGTGCGCGCGTCGTGCGTCACGAGGTGCGGGATGCCCTTGGTGCCCACGAAGACCTTCCGCACCTTGCACAGCTTGTACTTGGCCTCCTCGGGCGTGATGCGGTGCACGGCGAAGCGGCCCTTGGTGTCGTAGACCAGGCGGAAGTTCTCCCCGCTCTTGTCGATGCTGATGACATCCATGAAGCCGGCTGGGTAGGCCACATCGGTTCTGACCTTGCCGTCGACCTTGACGAGGCGCTGCATGCAGATCTTCTTCACCTCGTCGCCCGTGAGGGCGTACTTGAGTCTGTTCCTCAGGAAGATGCTCAGCGGCAGGCACTCGCGCAGGCGGTGCGGGCCGGCGGACGGCCGGGGCGCGAACACGCCGGTCAGCTTGTCCAGCATCCAGTGGCGCGGGGCAGCCACGCGCTTCAGGTGTTTCTTCGGGCCGCGAGCCATGGCGGAGGAGCGGACGGAAGCGCGGCCTTCTCCTTCGCAGAGCACAGGCGGAGTGAGGCGGCTGCGCGCGCAGCGGCAGGAACCCCGCCCATCCGGGTCTTTTCCGGTGGGCGGCGCCGCCTAGCGCCCCCTGCTGGCGGGAGGCCGGCGGAGCGGCGGGTGAGGTCATGGGACCTTTCCCTCAGTGCTGAGCTCCGCGGGGGCTGCAGGAAATACCGAGACGGAGGAGATAAGGAGCTGCCCTCTGGGAGAGCAGCTGGCCGCTCGGGAAGTATGGCGTCAACAAAGCTCGCTGGAGTCCTTTTTTTTTTGGTTTTTCGAGTCAGGGTTTCTCTATAACTGGAACTCTGTAGCCCAGGCTGGCCTCAAAACTCAGATCCGCCTGCCTCTGCCTCCCGAGTGCTGGGATTAAAGGCGTGTGCCATCACCGCCCAGCTTTGGATACATATTCTATTCTATTCTTTTTTTATTACATTTGTGGGGTTTTTTTTGTTTGTTTTGTTTTTGTTTTTTAGTATGTTAGTGTGGAAATGAGAGGGTGAGTCCTGGGAGTCCATTCTTGCCTTCCGCCGTGTAAGGCCTGGGAATTGCACTCAGGTCCTCGAGTTTAGACGCAGATTGCCTCTACCGTTATAAGCCATCTCACCAGCCCTTACTATTTCTGCTTTGTCTGCGTCATCTTTCAGACACCCTGCCGTCGTCAGCCAACCCCTTACTAAGTGATGGTCCAACAACCCTTTTCCTCATCTGTGCAGACAGCGGAGGGCGTGGGCTCTAGTGAGACAGAGATGTAAGGTCTTTGCGCAAATATTAACACCTTGCCCTTTGCTTCCTGTGTGATATGCCTGTGACACGTGCCACAAAGTGTCAGGGAAGGGGGAACTTGACAGAGCATCGGGTTGTCCAGCAGTGTAGATCTGGATATTCTGTTCCTACCTGAAAGCTGCCATTGATCCTCTACTTGCTGCCCAGAGGGAGCCCAGCTCTCTCTTACCTACGGCTTCTCTGAGATGATGACCCTTGCCTATCCCAAACCTCTAGGCTATAGTCACTCCAAACTACAGTGAGGGTTCAAATCTCCTTACATGTCTGTCCCCCCCACCACACACGCTTAGTTTTTTTTTTTTTTCCATTTAAGGCAGGGCTTTCTCATATAGCACAGACTGTCTTCAAACTCGTGATCATTTTTCTTGTGATGGACTCTTTATGGCTGTCAGTCTGCAGTATTCTCTGTACCATTAGTGTGGCTGCCGTGTGAGAGACAGTGTCATAGTGATGGGACCCAGGATATTGGAGCCTTCATGTGTAAGAACAATGATTTTAGATAACCCTGAAGTAATTAAATTTTGGATTCCTGGGAAACATGACAAAAGAAAGAGTGTCTGTGAGGTCCATTGCCCAAAGCCAGGAAAGAAGAGGGAAGATCCCAGGAGGCTGGGAGGTTAAAGAGATTTCAGGGAATCATGGGCAGATAAAACGTACTTTATTTACCAATACACAGTCTGCTAGGCAGGCAGCTGCCGGCAAGAACCCTGGCACAAGCCAGCACCATGAAGTGCACGCAGGAAGGCACAGGCATGCAAGCTCAAAGGAAGGCATCTAGGCCCACAGACAAACAGACATGCCAGGGGCTGGCTGGCAAACGCTAAGGCTTGGGCCTCTGACCTCAAGGCTACATTAGAATCACATAAAAGTAGCTCTCTGCCAAAAATACGTAGCAGATTACATCACTGTTTACTTGGGGGTTCCCTGGACAGCCAGTGTCAGCCATTTTGTATTGACTTATAGCTCTCCTGGATGTCCAGTGTCAGCCATGTTTTAGCTGACTTCTGCTGGATATCCATAATAGCACTGTGTTATCTAAACATAAACTGGTCCATATGACCCTTTGTTCCCAACAGTAGCTCATGGGAAAACTTCCATGAACTTTAAGTATTACCAGTATTTCAAAATGAAAGTATCTGACACCTGTGTTCACTGACATTCACAGGTAAATGTGTCAGAGTCCCAAGTTTGGGGGTTTTAGTGTTGATCATGTTTGGGTTTGGTTGTCTATAGAGAAGATTGATTATTTAGGTACCATTATGTTTATCATTCATGCAAGTGGTGTATTTTAAAATCTAGACTTCAGACTCCTTGTAATTAAGGTGTAAGCTTGATGCAGACGGTTTTGAAGTATCAACCCATCAGCTTGTAGTGCACTAGATCAGACCATTCTATTTCTTGTGTAGAGGGGACCTGTGCCACCCCGTGTCTGTTAAACCCTTGTCCCCCTCTTCCCTCCTTTCCTTTTTGCTACTTAAACGAAAATGATGATGATAAAGAATGCCTTATATTAGGTCATCAGGTTAAGTGCAAAGATCTGTCAACGGAAAAGCAGAGATGAGAAAACTCTAGTTTGCATCTGTTTAGAATTAATAAGTTGAACCTATTAATAGGTGACTCCCACCAGAGAAACACTTGTTTTGTTTTTGTTAAACTCTTACAAGGAGTAGGAAGAGAAGGAAGGGGGAGAAGAGAAGGAGGGACAGAAGAGAACAGAAAAGGAAGAGAAAGAGGAGCAACTAATGCAAATACCAGAGCGTCCAGGAAAAAACTCACTCATTTCTTCTTTGAATTTTGGGGAATTAAGATTTGGCCTCCTCCTTTGCACTTTACTTCACTGCCCTGTACCAGCTGTGTATGATGACATTAGGGGTGACACTCCCTCCTAAGTTTCCCAGGACTTTCCAGCTTAGCATTGAAAGCCAAGTGCTAGGCAGATTGAACTGGTTGCCATTCTTGAGGACAGTCTAGCCTCATATATGAAAACCTCTTGTATATGTAAACATTACACTGGATGATGTTCAGAAGACATTTAGTTGGATAAAATTTAGGATAAGGAGAATACATTTTGTTAAAGTCAGACCTTGCAGTCAGTGGGGTGTAACTGTAAAAGGCAGTGTAACAACTTAAATGCTTAGGGATTTAAAACTTCAGTGTGATGCAGTGAATCCCACCATTCAAAGCATTGAGCTGACTGGGTACAATGGCTCATGCCTTTAATCTCAGTACCCAGGAGGCAGAGGCAGGTGGATCTCTATGACTTCAAGGTTAGTCTGATCTACATAATGAGCTCCAGGACAGCCAGACCTATATGATAGAGAGATCCCGTCTTCCCACCCCACCCCACCCCCCCAAAAAAAAAGAAAAGAGGGGGAAAAAGAGAAAACATTGAGCTGAATTTGTACAGAAACATCTCTGGTGGAGGAAAAAAACAGTGCTATTTGTTGTTTGGTAACTTTACCGATGGCCCAGTGACTAGAAATCCAGCAACATGTGAGACTGCCAGTGAGCAAATGCAAGCTGCTACCAAGAAGATAGAAGTACGGAACTAAACAAATTTCTAGAGAAGCCATTATTACAGCAGGAGTATTGACCAACAAGAAATCAGGGCTGCTGCTACACACAGGGGCTTCCATGAAGGAGCAAGCTGTAAGCATGAGGCCCGGGGGCAGCATGATGTTTTAAGTCCAAGGCACCCTTTGCTTTTTTGAGTGCATTAGGAAAAGGTCCCCTTCCTTACAAAAGTAAATGGCCATCGGAGTACAAATTGATGAAGAAGTTTGGGCCACCTCAGTACCTCAGTGGCTCCTCCTCAGCCAGCATCCTTGCATGTGTACAGTCTATTCATTGCATGCCCTGTGTGTCCATGGTGAATTCACAGAACACCATGAAAATGAATTAAATTTTAACTTCTAGGAAAGCACTTTGTTTCTCTTTCCTCCCAGGAAGGCTGTAAATGACAAACCTCAATAGACAATGAATCCTTTCGGTATTTGCCCATTGAATTGGGGTTGGGGGTGGGATTAAGCTGGTTAATTCCACATTGATACCTTCTGTAAGTAGTGTGGGCTTCTCAAGACATCTGTGTTGCTACAGACCATGTAGATCACATGTAGCAAGGGCATGCATTGCTCAGGGAAGGCCAGGCTGCCAGGTGTCCTGCTTGGCCTACTGGTGAACTCAACACATGAAGCCAGGGTATGTGAGAGGCTTTGAGTTTATGTATTTGAGGTGAGAAGGCCTTGGAGTGGCTCTAACAGAAAGCACACCTGTAGAAGGTGGCTTGATAGTGGTCGGGTGAGACTTTCTCCTCTCTCTGCCTTAAATGTCAGCAGACTAAGTCTGTAGCACAGACCCCAGACCCATGTCAACTGTAAAAGTGGGCTGGAGAAAGACAAAACAGACCATCCTGACCTTCATCTGTATAGACACAACAAATGGACAAGACATCACAGACACTGCTGGGAACCTTAGGGAAGGGGCTTGAGGGCCAGACTGCCCGAACAAGTAAAAAAGATACTTTCTGAGAGCCAGCCTGGGCCTGCCTGATGTCTTAGCAACAGCAGCTGAAACATGATCTGGAGATGACCTGGACCAATGAGAGGCAGCCATGTCACACCAGATGATGCATATTCATCAGACCTCCCCCCAGGGTGTGGTAGAGGGTATATAAGGCTTGCCTCTTCCTGAATAAACTGAGCTTGTTGTTTAGACATTCTCCCAGAGTCTGTGTGGTTTGATTCTGCACCTACTTGGCCCCTGCCCCCAAAGGGAACAACAGCAAGGACCCTGCTACACACCACCAGTGTGGTTAGGCAGTGTTTGGGGTGTTGATCATGTAATCTTCTGGGGAGCCATCAGCATCAGGTACATGGGAAACAGAGGATGAGTTTATTCTCTAACCTGCTGCAGGTTCTGAATGGGTACAGTGCTCAGGTTACACCAGTCAAGAACTAGACAGGCCTAGGAGACAAAAAACTTCTAGGCAAGTTCACCTTGCCGCAAAGGAAGCTGAGCAAAATGGAGCCAGAATCAACACAATCATGTATGGTATGTCACTTCTATCCCACTGTCAGGACTTGAACCTCCCTCTTAGCATCTTTTTATTCTGATTTGAGGCTCAGCTTTGAGACCCTTACAGGAGTGTGCTGAGTGCTATTTCCTTACTGAGCTAGCAGGGAGCTTGTTGCTCATCCTCAACCCCGAACTGTTGCCTGGGCACTTCCTCTTGGCCCCTCACCTTCCACATGCTTATGTCTTCAGTATCTCTCCGGCCTCAAGCCAAGCATCACCTCTCCTTTGTAGCTTCTTTTCCTTTCCCGGCTCATACCCATTCCTTCTCTGATCAGTAGCCCTTCATCTTGTGCTGCCTTTCTGGGGCAGGGTGGCCCTTCAGAATAGTAAGCTGGGGGTGGCTAGGAGACAATACACAGATTAACATCCTGATTCTGCTGATGACTGGTTCACTTTTGAATGCCTCAGTTTCCCTAGTACCACTTGATTCCTAATTATATGAATGTAGATAAAGATTGAAATGTTTGGAGCAGTTTCTGGCCCCTGCTGTGTGCTCAACAAACATTAACTCTTATTTAAATGTTAGATTATGCATTTATTCCTTTCATGTAATACTTCTAGGGCCTGGCTCTGTTCCTGGAACTTTTCCTGTCAAACTGAATATCGTTATGTAAGTAACTTGTCATTTTTCATAGTGATGAAGTTGTATTAACTGTTCTTCTCATTTCCCGAATTGATCAGGTATGTCTTGGTACTCTGAGCTTGAATCTGTCTCAGCGTGTGTACCTGATACGTTTGTAATCCAGAGGGATGTATCCCAACTTCAGGCATCTTAGGAAGATGAAGACGATTTTGCTGACAGTGATTGGAAAGGCAGCAGAATGTGTGGAGCAAAAGTACAGGCTGGATTTGTATTCTGCCTCCAATCTCTTACTTCCTGTCAGATCTTAGGACAAAGTACTGGGTCATTAAGGCCACAATTTCCCCTCTTGCAAAAAGGAAATATTAATAGTGTCTATCTTGTAGGAACATGATCAGGGCCATATGTGCTAGCTTAGGACACACAGTAGGCAGTCACTAAATGGTAACCTAAAGTGTCCTTGCTGGTTTGCCCAGACAGTGCTAAATTGCATACTCCCTCTCACTAGCTTAGTTGTATCCAGTCCAAGTTTCCTAATAAGGTTCAGATAATATTATAGCATTGTTAGCTATCTTTGGATTTTTTTTTAGTGCTAAGGTTTATCTGTAAGGTGGTATATATTTGCAAGTTACCATGATCTTATTGCACAGATCCCTTAATACAGCTGGTATGCTACAAGTGTGGGTGTGTGAAAATGAGGGGAAACAGGGAGTAAGTACATGGTGAGAGAAGAGAGTGCGTGGTCAGAGAAGGGAATGTATAATCTCAATGAAAGGCATTGAACTGTCTATCGTGTAACTCCATTCTGGTCCGAGACTGTTCACGTGGGTTGGATCTGTCACCTGGAGTGGTGGTCTCTGTTCTGGCAACCTCAAGGATCTCTCAGGGGCTAAGGGCTAGGATGGACAGCAACAAGCTCCTTGACACATAAGTACTATACTACAAATACACGTTATAGCCATTTCACAAAAGATACTTAATTTTTAAGATTCATTTTATTTGTGCGTGTGCGTGTGTGTGTGTGTGTGTGTGTGTGTGTGTGTGTGTGTGTGTGTGTGTGTCTGTCTATCTGTCTGTGTCTATGTCTGGGGTTTTTTTGGGGGGAGGGGTGCATTTGTGTACAGGTGCCCACAGAGGCTAGAAAAGAGCTTTCAGTCCCCTAGAGCTGGAGTTACAAGTGGTTATGAACTGCCTGATGTGGATACAGGGATTCAGGTCCTCTTCAAGACCAAAACATGCCCTTAACTACTAAGCCATCTCTCTACCCTCCAAAGGTTCATATTTGGGTAAATTTAATATTCTAATCAGTAAAAAGCTATTATGTTTTTCAAGTTAATATTTGATTCATTAAAGATTCAAACTCATTAAAAAGGTATTTAACACCCAAATCCTATTTTCACCCTTGTCTCACTGGTTCTTGTAATAATGTGTCTCCACTGGCTTGGACGTGAACATTTTATGTTTATGAGTCCGTGTTGCACAATTTCCAAACCAACGCTGGTCTGCTCTCTGGTCCTCATCATCTCTCCTGTAGGGCTGCAGGACTGTTGTTTGTGATCAACCTCAGAATGGGTCTCTGTCAGCATCTAGCAGTGCTAAGGCTGGGCTGCTGAAGGTAATCAGTTGTCTCTGCCAAAGTTCCTTTGTGACTGTTTTCTGTATAAACATAGAACCTACATGGTTTCTCTCACCTGTAATCTTAGCACTCAGGAGCCAGGGGCAGGAGAATCAGTAGTTCAGTGCCAGCCCTGGTTACATCATAAGCTTGAGGCTAGCCTGGGCTACTTGAGACCTTGTCTCATTTTCCCCAGCCTACACCCCTCCAACTCAAAACCTTTGACGACAACAACAAACCCAATAACTGGCTCCGGGTTTGTTTTTATTAATAAGAACTTTTAAGATTCGTGCTACATAGAAGGATCATGACTTTCTTCAAATCACTTCACATTTCTTGTGTGTGTGTGTGTGTGTGTGTGTGTGTGTGTGTGTGTGTGTGTGTGT